GGGGCCTCGCTCCGGAGCCGGGTGGCCGGAGGAACAGCGAGGCCCAGTACGCAACATTTTGTTGCGGGTCTCCACTTGTACATTATATTACAAAACCAGGTTTAACACGTTGCATCAGGAGGAAAAACATTAAGTTAAACTGTGATTATAAAACCCTCTAGATGGGGCCTCGCTCCGGAGCCGGGTGGCCGGAGGAACAGCGAGGCCCAGTACGCAACATTTTGTTGCGGGTCTCCACTTGTACATTATATTACAAAACCAGGTTTAACACGTTGCATCAGGAGGAAAAACATTAAGTTAAACTGTGATTATAAAACCCTCTAGATGTCATATACTTCATGTATGCAAACTGCAAGCTATGTCTCTTTATATCCACAGATCGAAGGTGGTTTTTTGCAAGGAGTTGGACTTTTTACATCAGAGGAAATAAAATTCTCCCCAGAAGGAGAGCAGTATACGCTGGGTCCAGACACGTATAAAATCCCTGCTGTTTGCGACGTCCCAGAACAGTTGAGAATCTACTTGCTACCAAACACAAGAAACCCCGTTGCAATCTACTCCTCCAAGGTAAACAAATGAGAAATGCTAATAACATATTCATTAAAGAAAATTCCATATTGTTTGACTGAATTCACAGAAGCCTCAATTATAATCTTCATTTGAATCTAGATGTTTTAGAGATAGTAAAATTAATGAAGGAGCTCTGCAGAAATCAGTAATGTCTTTGGAAATAAGGAAAGCGTTTTTTAAAAAGCCGCTGCCTGAACAAAGAGCCAAAAGAACTGCCAGTTCCTTTTCATGTTTTCATTCTCCAGTAATACCTAACATTCACCGCTAATGCTTAAAAAAATGTAATAACAGATAAAATTATCAAGAGAAGCTTTGCCAGTCTGGACACAGCAGTTTACCAAATGTTGACATTGCAAAGCTACCGTTTTATGGATTACTCTGTTTTGCATTTTATTTATTTTTTTGGATGGCCCAGGCTAGCCTGTTCCCATCAGATCATGGAAACTAAGCAGAATTGACTTTCATTAGTATTTGGATGGGAGATCTCTGAAACTCTACTATATAACGTCAGTCCTTTTAAAGTTTAAAAAGACTGGAAGGGAGGGGTGAAGATCTTTTTTCCGCCTCCCTCCCACCTTCACCATGGCTATGAAAAGGATCTAAAAATAACTACATAAATAATCTACTGGGCGAAGAAAACTAGACAGTACCCTGTCAAATTGATATCTTCAAGATTTATCACTTTCTCTATGAACTTTAAGGTAAAGGTAAAGGTTCCCTTGCTCGAAAGCCAGTCGAATCCGACTCTAGGGTTGCGGTGCTCATCTCCGTTTCAAAGCCGAAGAGCCAGCGCTGTCTGAAGACGTTTCCGTGGTCATGTGGCCGGCATGACTAAACACCAAGGCGCACGGAACGCTGTTACCTTCCCACTGAAGTGGTACTTATTTATCTACTTGCAATTTCTTGCTTTCGAACTGCTAGGTTGGCAGGAGCTGGAACTAGAGACGGGAGCTCACTCCGTCATGCGGCACACCCAGGTCTCGAACTGCTGAACTACTGACCTTTCACAGCCTGCAGTTCAGCGTCTTAACCACTTGAGCCACCGCAGCTCCTCTATGAACTTTACTGAGAGCCTAATAAATCTTGTCCTTTGTATGAAGACTTTGAAATAAATATTGAACTTTGGGATTTGTTATAACTTAATACTTGAAATATAAAGGCTGATATTTTAATGGATCTTATTCTGAAATTTTTAATGTATCTAGTTCCCATAACAATGTATGTTTACCTTTATTGAAATGGTAAAACTCCACTTTCTTTTGACTTCATTGCTTTGGAATGCAAACTACTGATAAGCTATTTGCCCTTTGTTAGCTTTGTCTAGAACTTAATATCTACTGACGTATACTCTCTAAAACTGTTATCTCTGTAACACGTGGCTTGGGAAAACATCTATAGAGACTCCTTGGCTTTAATACAACTTTGGAAAAATGATTTCTCAAGATAGATGGCAAAGAGCCCCAGAAGCTTTATTGTCAGTTACACCAGACTCTATGGACAATAAACCTATCCAGGCTCCCCTGAAAGATTTTTTGAACATGGTTCAAAATACACTTTCTGTGACCATAAAAGATGCAATTGAAGAAACCTTTCATTTAGTACAGACAGAAATCCAAATATGGACACAACAATTTAAAGTCAAGAGAGAAACAGTGTGGAAAGAGGAGGGGAAAAAGCTCTGACTGCCCTGAAAACATAGAGGAAACCTGCAAGCAAGACCACTGGACCTACAAAAAAAGAACTTATGCCCACAAAGAGAAATACAACCTTGACAGAAACATACCAGAGACTCTATAAAAGAACTATGGGTGATGAAACTCCCGAAATACTCACTTCCTTACCATCTCAGAGACAACAAAAAAACCAATTTATGGAACTACAAGCTACCACTAAGAGGGAACATAGACGGCTGTTTCCAGATGACAATTTTCACACTTATAAAGGAAAAAGACACATAATCAAGACTTTAAAACTTAAGAGGAGGATCCAGAAAATTAAGAAAAGGCTGATATCTATAAACATTCTGGGAAAACTATGAGGGACTTCCCTCCATCTTAGGACTACCTCATTTATATATTGAGGGAATCCCAGATACTTTTGATGGAGTGTATATTTACCTTTACTGAAACTGTAAAACTCCACTTTCTCTTGACTTCATTGCTTTGGAATGCAAACTACTGATAAGCTATTTGCCCTATGTTAGCTTTGTCTAGAACTTAATAGCTACTGACATATACTTTCCAGAACTGTTATCTCTGAAAAACTTGGCTTGGGAAAACATCTATAGAGACTCCTTGGCTTTAATACAACTTTGGAAAAATGATTTCTCAAGATAGATGGCAAAGAACCCCAGAAGCTTTATTGTCAGTTACACCAGACTCTATGGACAATAAACCTACCCAGGCTCCCCTGAAAGATTTTTTGAATATGGTTCAAAATATACTTGCTGTGACCATAAAAGATGCAATTGAAGAAACCTTTCATTTAGTACAGACTTAATGGCAAATTCATATCTATGTAGCAGCCACCAATCTTTCCTTTTATTTCTAATCTCACTTCCAAAACTGACAGCCTTTTTATCTTGCAGGGTATGGGAGAAGCTGGAGTATTCCTGGCCTCTTCCGTGTTTTTTGCTATCAAGTATGCAGTGACTGCTGCTCGGAAACAAAGAGGACTGAACGAGGTTTTTGTCCTCGAAAGTCCGCTGAACATAGCAAGGATTCGCATGGCCTGTGCCGATCATTTTACAGAGATGGTAAACGCTTCCTAAATACCCTCTACCCTTTTCTTTCTACCCTGCATCATGCTCCTTTTTTGTGCTTATTTTTTTTTTCTGCACCTCCTACATATTTTATTCTGGTTTGGTTTCTGACATCCCCTGTTCTCAGACCAAAGTCTTGAACAATAAAAGCGAACTTAAACAAAACCAATGTCTAAAAACACCTCCCTTCAACACTTCTCTGCAGCCTCTAGAAATCGAGCAATGCAGTAAGCTGGGGACAACAGGCTGGCTGCTCACACCAGCATGGGGCTTGAACTGACACAGTTCGGATGTTAAGACAGTGGGATATACCCACTGTGCCACCGCTCCCCTATGAATTAATGTCCTTTAAAACATTGTTAACAGCCATTCTCACTGGCAAACTGAGGGCCGTGGCTTCCTCGACTGAATCCATACATCTCAAGTTGGGTCTTCCTCTTTTCCTGCTGCCTTCAACTTTTCCTAGCATTATTGTCTTTTCCAGTGACTCTTGTCTTCTCATACTGTGACCAAAGTACAATAGCCTTAATTTAGTCTGTGATGATTCCTTGTTTTGATGTGTGTGTTTGCTTGCAGTAATGCAAGGAGGACGATAGGGGGAGAATAGGCGTAATCTTCGTGGGGGCGG